AATGGGCCTCCTTATGTATTCAGCATAGTACCAACTAGCATATGTATGTGAGAAACCAACACAAACTCGAGGAGGAAAACAAACAAAAACCCACACACAAACAAAATCACCCTAAAGGATTAAAGGGGAAAGTACCTGGTGTCCACATGGGATTTAGAAAAAAAAGTCTTTTCCCACCAGGCAGACTGGAAAACAATGTAAATCATGGGCATTGGCTAGAGTACTCAGATGGGGCTTTCCTTGTTGTGTTGTTGTGAGTTGCCATCAGGTTGATTTGGCCTCATGGTGACCCCATCTCTGCAGAGTAGGACTGCTCCACAGGATTTTCGCAGCTGTAACCTTTGGGAAGCAGATCACTAGACCTTACTCCAGAGGAGCCTCTGGGTGGGTTTGAACCTCCAGCCTTTAGATTAGTAGTACAGTGTTTACTTAACTATCTGTGCTACCAGGGATCCTCTTGCCTCATTCCAAAAAAACCAGACTCACTGACATAGAGTCGATTCCAACTCATAGCAACCCCCTTTTGGTTTCCAAGGTGATAAACCTTTATGGAAGTAGATTGCCTTGTCTCATTAAAAAACCAAAAACCAAACTCACTGCCATCAAGTCAATTCTGACCCTTAACAACCTGCTTTGGGTTTCCAAGGCAGTAAATCTTTACAGAAGTAGATTGCCCAGTCTTCCATGGAGTAGCTGGTGGGTTTGAACCACCAACCTTCTGGTTAACAGTCAAATGCCTTAGGCACTATGCCACCAGAGTGCCTCATTGTTGTTGTTGTTATGTGCCATCAAGTCGGACCTGACTCATAGTCACCCCTTCTTAGGTTTCTGAGGCAGTATCACCACGGAAGTAGATTGCCCAACCTTTCTTCTGAGGAGTGGCTGGTGGGTTTGAACTGCCAGCCTTCTGTTTAGCAGTCAAGTGCCTTAGGCACTATGCTACCAGAGCTCCTGCCCTACACAGAAACAGTACTCCAGACTTGCTTTAAAAATGTGAAAATAAGACTTGAAAGGATCAAACTCTTTCCTACTAACTGCATCCCAGAAAAAAGGTAAAGAATATTTATAAGAATATTAAAATATCTAGTATTCAATGAGGTCAAATTCATGATATCTGCCATCTAACCAAAACTTTCTAGCATGCACAAAACCTGATAATTATGACACATAATGAAGAGAAAAATCAATCAATCAAAACTATCCAGAACTAAAACAGATACAAAAGCAAACAAGAAAATTAAAATAAGTTATTTTAACTCTATTCCATACATTCAAGAAGTGAACTTCAGACCTGCAAGAGAGTGAAAAAAATTTGAATTTAGAAAGGAAAATTATAATATCTGACATGAAAAACACATTGGATGTGACTAACAACAGATTCCCATACTGACTACCATTGAGTGATTCTGACTTATAGTAACCTATAGGACAGAGTAGAACTTCCCCACAGGATTTCATACACTGTAAATCTTTACAGAAGAAGACTGCCACATCGTTCTTCTGTGGAGAGGCTGGTGGGTTTGAACCACCAACTTTGGGTTAGCAGCTGAACTCTTAAGCACTGTGCCACCAGAGTGCCTTAACAACAGATTAGTTATTGGGGGAAAAAAATGATTACTTTAGTCTAGTTCTTAGTAAATTTGAAGACATGTCATTGATGTTAGATGCTGTCTGGGTGGCTGTGACTCAAGCAACCCTGTGTACAACAGAACAAAACACTGCCCAGTCATGAGACAGACTCACAGTGTTTGCTATTCTTGAGCCCATCATTGCAGCCACTGTGTCAGTCCATCTCGTTGAAGGCTTTCCCTTTTTTTTACTGACCCTCCACTTTACCAGCATGTTATCCTTTTGCAGGGAATGGTTCCTTTTGCCAACATGACCAAAGTAGGTGAGACTAAATCTGACCATTCTCGCTTCCAAGGAGCATTCCTGCTGCATTTCTTCCAGGGCAGATTTGTTAGTTCTTCTGACAGTCCATGGTACCTTCACTATTCTTCACCCACACTACAACTCAAAAGCATCAACTTTTCTTCAGTCTTCCTTATTCATTGTCCAGCTTTCACACAAATATGAGGTGATTGAAAACATAACAATAGAAACTATCCAACAAAAGCAGAAAAAAATAATTTAAAGGAATAGTTGATCAATGAGCTGCAGGAAAACTTCAAGCAGCCTAATTAAATATACCTATAATTAGAGAATCTGAAGGGGTGGTGTGGACAGAAAAAATGTTTGTAAAATTAATGACTGAGAGATTTCAAAATGTGATGAAAACTATTAAGCCACAGATCCAAGATGCTCAACAAAACCCCAAGTACAAGAAACATGAAGAACCTTCACCAAAAATCATAATCACATTGCTCAAAAGATATGACAAAAAGAAAAACATAAAAGCAGCCAAAAGAAAATGAATAAAGATAAGCACGAAACAGATTTCTCATTGGAAAAAAATGCAAATGAGGAAAGAGTGGAGCAATATCTTTAAAGTACTGAAAGGGAAAAAAAGCTTAGAATTCTAGACAGTGGAATATTTTTTAAATATGAAGGTAAAATAAAGACATTTTCAAACACGCAGAAACTGAACACTTCGTCATCAGTGGACCTAGAGTATAAATAATGTTAAGGAAGTTCTTAAAGTGGAAGAAAATGATACGAGATGAAATATAGATCAACATAAAGGAATGAAGATCACCATAAATGGTAATTTCATGATCCTTTTTTTTTTTTCCCCAATCTTTTCACATTCCATAAGCTGGAATATGAGGGTACTCCTAATTAAGCTTTAATTTTTCTAACAAAGAATACGTGCCAAGGTGGTGTTGTTGTTATGTACTGTCGAGTTAGGGAGGTGGAATACAATGAAAAAGACCTGGTCTTGGAATGACTAAATGGAACAGAGCTCTCTGATTATCTGGACCATTTACCTGAAAAATGTTACCAAGAAACAAATATATTATGGTTTTACTGATACTGCAGATGGAACTTTACCTTAATTAGTAAATATTTAGTAATTTTAAAGTTTTGCCTTAAAAAGGAAGCTCTTTAAGCAACTTGATTTTTTTTTCCCCTTCTACATGAAGAGACAGCTGATCCAGAGCTTTCTATGGAAAGGCTATTTTTCTCACCAGTCTTTGTGTGTGTGTGTGTGTGTGTGTGTGATTTCTGTAAAATTTTACAGAGCAAATTGGCTTTCCATTCAACAACCCATGCACATTCTGTTTTGTGATGTTCACTGTGATCACTACAATGTGCCAGCATTCGTCCCACTCCCTCCCTGCTTCCACGAACCCTTCCCTTTGTCCTTCCTTCCCATTCTGATCCACATTCCTAGCTCTGTCCCTGGGCAAATTTCTCACCAATCTTAAATGCCAACTCTCATATATTAACAACTATATGCATGGAGGAAACCTTTGTGAACTGTCTGTTCCATTAGTCTATTTATCTATCCACCAATATTATGATATTCGTGCACCAATTATGATATGCTTATACTAACACAATATCTGGTCAGGCAAATACTGAAATTTTTTTTTCTCTTTTCATAAATGTGTTTTGGTTCTTGCTGGCATATTGACTTACCAAACAAATATTTTAATCAGTTTTTAAAAAGTAAGTGAAGAGATTATTAGGCATTATGGCTAGATTACTTTAGTTTAAAACTGGTTTATTATGGTTGGATATATGTAGAATTCTCTAGTCCTTTCACATGGGATGGTCTTAGAATGTCTTTTCATCATCACAACTATAGTGACAAGAGTAGACATGGGAGTGAGGAGGTGACATTTTGACTTTCTGGCAGGGCTCTAGGGGCTTGATCTCTTCCATCTGCCCTATGGATTCCCCTAGAACTAAGGCAATCATCTCTCACTTGGTTGCCATTAACTTCAGTAATTTTGGTCTATTGTTGTTGTTGTTGAGTGCCATGGAGTAGATTCCAACTCATAGTGACCCCACAGGACATAATAGAACTCCCCCATTAGGGTTTCCTACCCACCAGCCACTCCTCAGAAGGAAGATGGGGCAATCTACTTCCGTAGTGATACTGCCTCGGAAACCCAAGGAGGGCTTGCTATGAGTCAGGTCCGACTCGACGGCACATAACAACAACACAACAATCATTATGGGAGCAGATTGCCAGGCTTTTCTCCTGCAGAGCCATTGATGGATTCAAATGACCAACCTTTTTGTTGGCAACCTAGTACTTCACCATTGTCTCACCAGGGTTTCTTTTATTTATTTATTTATGGTGTAAACCATGTCAGTAGAACATCATTACTGTGATCACATTTAAATGTGTATCAACTGCACACTGAAGGCTCCTTCAAGACATGGACAAGGTTTATCTTTATAAAGTTCTCAGAGAATAAGTATACAGCACTGAATTTATTCATCAGTGTTTTCAATTCTGTGGCTCCATTTCAATACTGTTCTATTCTCTAACAACTTATTTCTTTAATTTATTTAACATTCATCACTTAGCTGTTAAGTACCTACTTTGTGCCAGTTACATCATAAGTGCTGAAAATTTAGCAGTAAGGAAATAGATACAGATCCTTCTCTCATGGGAAAAATTAATGTTTAAATGAAAAGAAATTAAAATATATAATTTATAATTATGTTTAATGTTATGAAGGGGGGAAATGTGGGTTTATGTAAAAATAACTAGAGAGACCTAATATATTTTACATGTATTAGAGCATATTATCATGGACAAATGAAATCTGATTTTACTTATATCAAAATTTATGTAGCAAACTGAGCATAGATTTTTTTTTTTCCAGTAAATAATCCATGCATTCATTTACTCCACAACATTCATGTTCTCTGAATAGTATCATGGCTGGATATTGAGCTCATAAAAATGACGAAGACTCAATACCTGTCCTTGGGAAACTCATCTTGCAATAGTTCACATAATTAGCAATACTTCTCATTAAAATAATTGCATACAAAATGAGAACATGCATGTATCATTTTTCTTTTTCATTCTGTTTTAGATGAGGATAGGCATTCACTCAGGCTCTGTGCTAGCTGGAGTTGTTGGGGTGAGAATGCCTCGATACTGCCTGTTTGGAAATAATGTCACCCTGGCAAGCAAATTTGAATCAGGAAGTCACCCTCGGCGCATCAATGTCAGCCCAACCACTTACCAGTAAGTATTCTCTGGCCTCCTTCATCCTGTCTTTGGCATTGCCTTGAACTGATAGCCTGTCATTTGTGGAATTCTGCTCTGTTTCTTGATTCTATCATTCTCCAAGATATTATAAGTAGTTCTGTCCAATCTGAAAGATAGTAATTGGGGCACAGTCTTTTATTTGCACCCTGAGAGAGCATACGGAAAACCTGACTGAACTGAGAGGTAAATATGGGTTTGTTATTCCCCACAGTCTGTCCTTGAGATATACTTGTTCAAAATATAGGAGAGCAACTGCTGCATAACACTAAAAACCCCAATATTTTCAAAATGTTTCTCATTGTTTATACAAACTAAGAGAATAAGAAAGGAAAGGTGGTTATCTCTGTCTTCATTCTTTTGAGTAGTAAATACAAATAGGAATTCTCTAAAGTTAATTATATACTAAGTACAGAGTAAAACTTCAAACTGTTTATCTAAAAGGTCCAATTTTACAACTCTACACATTTCTGTCCTCTTCCCGAATCCTTATTTTGCACCTGGTAGATGTCATCTCCTTCACTAGATATTAAGCTTCCCATGGGCAAAGACCATGTCTGTTTTGGCTCATCATTATATCCCCAGAATTTATGATAAGTATTTAGCATATAATAAACATACTATAAATATTTGTTAAATTAATGAAAAAGTGCATCAATATATGGAACTTTTCTGAAACATCTAGCATATAACAATACAGAAAGCTCTTGGTCTGTCAGACCTTGGCTATATGCTGGACATTGGTTCTAAGCTACTTAATTAGTACCATGTTTTAGATAATTTAGAAACCATAATTGGAAAGTTGTAGTTGAAATAATGACGATTGGTTTTTTTCATTGACTTGGCTACCAAAAAAAAAAAAAAAAA